TAAAAATATGTATCTGGTTTTGGGGATGAGGGAAGCTTAATCAAGGAAAGGACCGCAAAAGGAAATAAGACTAGCAGTGCTTTTCTACTAATATCAGTTTGACTTGCAGAGCAGTTAATAAAATTATGGCCTGAAGTGTCTGCTTTGAAGTATGAAACCCAGCAAGCTGCTGGAACGTATTAAACTAACATCCTTGTTCTTAGCGATGCGAGCCCTGCAGTTCCTTATGAGATATTGGTACTCCAACTGAAATTAATAATCTGTGAGCTGTTCAGGGCATGGCCTTCCTTTGTCTCTTATTACCATTATAGTACCACATATAGTGCCATATCTCTCTGGTGTTTTGCATGCAGCCGTTAACTGTGTTACAATTAAAAGCCAGTAGATTTTTGAGTGAGACGCAGAAGAATTCCATGGTTGTTTCTGGCTTTTTTTCCCCTCTTTCCTTGTAAAACCACATGAAAGAATATAAACAGATTTCTTAGTGTCTGTTTCTCTTCTTCTTCAGGCTGTTGAAAATCTCTGCTCCTACAAGATTTCTGCAAACTTGTATAAACAATTGAGACAGATCTGTGAAGACCACATTAAAGCACAAATTCACCAATTCAGAGAATATCCTTTATTTAGCTGTTGACAAGCCAAAATGTTTTTACCTGCCAGTATGTGGTGATAGATTTTTTTTGACTAGTCCATGACAGTAGAGCATGGTAAACTGAATTCCTACTTTTTGCATAATTGGGTCTGTTTTCGATTTTTTTGTGAGACCTCGGAGAACACTACTAGTTCCTTTATGCGTGTAACCATTGAAAGGTTTGTGAGAAAGTTTTGCTGGTGTTTATGAAACACATTTGCATTTTACAGAAGCTCACATTAGACTTAGAGCATGGCTTAAAAAGGCTGTATTGGCTGTATCTCTTCAGGCTTACTAATGTGCTTATCTTGCCATGTTCAGGTAAACAGAGAAGTCTTCCAACAAGTAGTTTTTGTTTTCTTTTCAAAAAGTGCTAGTGGTGTGGCAGCATAGTGTTAGTGGTTCCGAGGATCAAAATGTTTTCTTTTCAAAAGTTTTTAAGTTGCATCGGGTCAAGATCCTGTTAAGTGGATATTACTTAGTACCAGAACAATACAGTGAACTGAATACAAGTTAAATTTCAAGAACAAAATTTATCTATTAAGGTTATCTTTAGACATGAGCTAAAATTATATCTTTGTAGTGGTGGGCTCTTACTGCGGATTGTTGGTTTAGAGGTCTGGGGATACGTATGTTTGTCCCACCCCTCAGGGACAGGAGAATTAGACAAAATGATCAAAAGTATTTAGATCCTTTTTTTAATTGTTTAGATCATGTTGATTTCTCATTATTAACACAAAGACCCTCACTGAAAATAAAAATAAACATGTTGCAAGAAGTTAAGTGGTACTTTTTAGGAGTCGGTGAGTTGTGCTCTCTGTTAAGTATCTTTGAAAAAATAATGTTGGTTCATCTCATTGCTAACACTACCTGTTGATCATAATTTTCTTAATGATTTCTTCATGGATTCGTTGGATAGCGTCCTTTTTCTAAAGAAAATAGACAAATGTTGGCAAGATCACTGCAGACAAATGGTAAGTTTTTTTCTTTTTTAAAGAAAACCAGTTGTCGAGCCAGCCTATGTTTTGCTTAACTTTGTTCCTTTACAACCATACTGTGCTTCTGAAATTGAATCTTAAATTTCTGTATGGTTTCTTCATGAAATACAACTGTATGTAGTTTGTTAGAAATTGGGCCTTGAAAAGTCCTGTCTGTGGTGTGTTTCTTGACATGCTGGTCTGATACTGGATGCACATGCACACACACAACTTCTATCTGTTGTTTCTATGCAAACCTTCCTCCTTATAAAATGATCTAATCTTCTATACAGAAAGATGCTAAACGTTGCATTGATAATCTTGCTGAGACTGGCAGAATATTTTAAACAAATCAACATTGTCTGAGAAAGCACTGTCTGAAACTTATCAGTGGATTTTTTTTGTTGAACATAATTTGTGTTGCTCTTCAGTTTCACGAGTAAAACAATTGTGGCTTTTTTATTCCTTCTCATAACAGATTATGATTAGAAGTATCTTTTTGTTCTTGGATCGAACTTATGTACTTCAGAATTCAATGCTGCCGTCTATTTGGTAAGGGTGCAAAGAATATAATTATTTGGGATATATTCAAATTATCGCATATATCTTGCTGATTTTCAGGGTGGTTTTTTAGATAAACTTTATATAGTGATCTGTAAATTAGATGGTGAATATGCTTGTTACAAAGGGAGATTTCACTTTAAATTTATTTGCCATGAATTACAGGATTTTTCTAGAATAGCTGTGATAGCAGATTTCAGCTAAGTAGTACAGTTTGCACAGTAAAAGGAAAGGGCTGTCTTGTTCAGCAACTGAAGTGTGAGGGTTTGTGTTGCCCAGTTACAGGCTTTAACATGCATAGCATTCAAAGTTCTTAAAGTATTTTTGAAGGAAGAAGTTACAGAAAATATAAAAGCAAGTTACTCTCTTTTGGACTTCAACTTCTCCCCCCAATATTTTAGTAATTAACAACTGCCCTATATTGAGGAATTTAAAGAATACTAGTATTTATTGTCCTCTCTTAGACCTAGATCAAATTATATTAACAAATAATATTTGGGGTTGATTCTTATGCAATTTATTGAACAGTCTTTTTTCTTTTTAGGGATATGGGGCTAGAATTGTTCAGAACTCATATAATCAGTGATCAGAAGGTCCAGAACAAAACTATTGATGGCATTCTTCTGCTGATTGAGAGGGAAAGAAATGGTGAGGCTATTGATAGGAGTTTACTGCGAAGCCTTCTAAGCATGCTTTCTGACTTGCAGGTGAGTAAACTTGTTTCACCTTTAAATCAGTAAACAGCTCAGATTCTTACTTAGTGCTCAGTAAGCTTTACCCTGGACTGCTATTGTGTTGTTTCCCTAGATTTATCAAGACTCTTTCGAACATAGATTCTTGGAAGAGACTAACCGACTGTATGCAGCAGAGGGACAGAGGCTTATGCAGGAACGAGAGGTATTTTGAATGTTTAACAATATTTGTGATGTCTAATGGTGAAGCATTTGTCAGGGAGAGGAACTGTTCCGCTGCCTTAGCCATCGTACAGGGCAATAACATGACCTTTTTGTTTTGTAGTACTCTGAAAAAGCAAATTGACATGCAGTTGCCTTCAGTCACAATGATTTCTTCTTAAAACTGTTGCTGCTGTCAGACCAGTATTGTCCTTCTCCTCCCCCCCCCCCTTCCCCCTTGATTTTCTTAAAACATACAAAACTACTCTGGCATTTTCAGGTTCCAGAATATCTTCACCATGTCAACAAGCGCTTGGAAGAAGAAGCAGACAGAATAATCACTTATTTAGATCAGAGCACACAGTAAGTGCAATCTCTCTTTGCTTGGTATTGTTAGCTGTTTGGCCCTTCTTTTGCTAAGGGCCATCTAATAGCTACAATTTATTTCAGTTATTGACTGGCCATCAAATGCTTCTCACTTCCCACAATTCTTTGTTTACAATGCAGCACTGTCTTGGCTCACACAGGCAATATCTTTCTTTTAAGCCACTAGTTAGTTTGACATAAATGTTGGGCATTTGGTTGGAGAAAAATAGGCTGCCACCCCCAGTCCAAATGTCTTTCTTGCTGAAATGCAATTAATCAGCTGTTGTTCTACCTGAGAAAGATAGGACCTGGGACAGAAAATTCTCAAGCGAAAGCTTCTGAATATTTACATTAAAATATTAGTGTATTCTTTGTGGAGTCTGGGAAATTATTGACTAATGTCACTCTTGAATCTTTTATACTTAGAGGCAGGATTTCCTCAAATACAATCAAGTGGAGGTCATGACTGGTAGGACAGGAGAAATGTTCTCCTCACATAAAGCCACAGCTGTTGTGTCTGAGAGAAAATGTAGGTCACCAGTATAAAAAAAACTCTTCGAGCAGCTGGTAGCAACTTCTTAAAGACCAAGTACAGAGGATCTCTCTGAGAGGAAGGTGTTTTATTGCTACCATCATACATTTGTTTCCTTCCTCCTTCAGCTGTTGAAAACATTTAGCTTGTTTAGTGGCTTCCTTCTTCCACACTCCTATTAGTGGCCAACTCCCTATTTTGTTTAATACCTCTTGACTTGTGAGATGTTTGGGGTTTTTTTTTTCTTCTCCTTGGCTTGTCTTCCAAGACACGAATCTCCTCCCACAAAGCAAGAGAAGGTACATTCTTTGACAAACTTTTACCCAGTTTCTTCACTGATGGGATCATTGTCCAGCTGCTTAGAGGTCACATACAATAGGCTTATTGTGTGAATTAAATCCTCGGTCAGCAAACAGGAAAATAAAAAATTCCTCACTGAGGAGGAAAGAAGATAATTATGTGTATGATCATTTTAGGTTCTTGGCCACATAATTAGAGCACTCACAATGACAAGCGTAGTTAACATAATCTCAGAAAAAGGATTTAAAACTGTCAATAATGGAAAAAGGAAAAATAATTCTAAACATTTTTTCTATAGGAAGCCACTAATTGCTACTGTAGAAAAGCAACTTCTAGGTGAACATTTAACAGCCATTCTTCAGAAAGGTAATCTTTCTTCTTTATAGAAATGTTTCTAATTACTGCTTTGGGGCTTTCAATTCCTGTGCTGAAAAATGAAGTGACAGATTCAGGTGCTGGGAGAGGACACAAGCTACATCATTCTTTTAATGCCCTTTGCTACTCAGTTCATGAAATAGCATTGACCATTTTGCAAGAGGGCAAGTACCATTCTCCTTGTCAGAGGTAAGGAGACGCAATGCTGCCTTCAGACAAACAGCAAAGCAAGAGGAAAACTAGAATAGGTGACTCTTGAGTTCAGTGTGTCAAATAGCATTTTGAAGACTCAGTTAAAGGAGTAGCCTTCAGTGTTTTCCTTTTCTGATACAGTTATAATCTGATTTGTTGCTGCTCACGGAAGGCAACAGTAGTTTCAAAAAATTTAGTACAATTTGAACAATGAAGTATTTTGCTTCAGTTCTGCAATAGCCTCTGGAGTCAACTGACCCGCTGTTGCTCTGAGTGATGGTCTGGAAATAGATATGGGTGCAGCGAGAGTTGAATAATAAAAGAAAATGATCAAGTCCTTACTAGCCAGATTCTGGATAAAACAGATATGTGAGCATCTTCCTGCACATCTGTAACAGACTCTTTGAGAGGAGTATCATGTTTGCAATATTTACCCATCTGCTTTCTTAGAACCTTGCTGTGGAGCATCAAGGCTTTTCTGCCAAAAAGTTAAAAAGTGAAAGGTGAAGATATTTCTTGAAGTTGCTCGCCTTCAAACAACTGTAAAACTTACTTTACAGCTGAAATTAAGACTCAGAGCTGTTTCTTGCTAAGGAACCTTTCCTACAGATCGGTAGAGCGTAAACTTTTCAAATCTTTAGGAAATAGTAAAGCAGAAGTAAGCAAAGATGTTGTGATAAGAATGTTATGTAAAGTACATGTAACCTAAGATATCCAGTGTAATAACAAGGTTTTTAAGGTTTGGGCCAGGTCAGGTAGCCATTCTGTGTTTTACTGTTAAATTAGATAGCTAAACAAAAAAAAATACAACCCCAAAACAAACACCACCCACCCTACTAATTGCTTGATTAAAGTATTAGCTCTGAAGAGATCCCTTACTGTAATAATGTGTTGCACTTTCTTCGGATTACTCTGGTTTTAATATCTTTAAATGCTCTCATTTGCAGGTTTAAACCACCTCCTTGATGAAAACAGAATTCAAGACCTGTCTCTTCTGTATCAGTTGTTCAGTCGTGTGAGAGGTGGAGTACAGGTTCTCTTGCAACACTGGATTGAGTACATAAAGGTACTGTTTCTAGAACTCTGGAGCAGATACCACTATAGATAGATATTTTTATATATATATCTATAAACTATTGCATTTTTCTCAGAAATGAAGACTAGTTGCTTATAAACACATATAACGAGCAGTTTTGAAACTGTACTAGAAAACTACAACTGTTCTAGCCCTATCGAAGAAAATATTGAACATTCAGTTGAATTATGGAACTCTAAATAAATTTGGAGTTTTTATCTTGCTTGTAGTTAATTCTGGATGACAACTGTATTTTTCCAATAGACATTTTGGTAATGGCAGAACATTTGTCTCATCTCCTGCTAAAATTTCTTGTCAGAACGAGTGGTAGCTTTACTTACCAACTAATTGAAGTTCAAAAAGCACCTTAATATCACTGAAGATGTTTCATCTTATTAGTCAGTGAAAATGTTGTCACAAGAAGTATGGTCCTTGTGAAGGATGACTTTATGATGGCATAGGAGTTTTTAAATTGTTTCAATTTTTTTAAAATAAAATTGAGTTTAGTGTAGGAGTGATTATGTGGTAAATACGTCATAACTCTATTATTTCTATTGTTAGTGGAACTAATATGAATACCAGAAACAAGATATTACAAAGATAACTTAGACTTTTAGAAGCCTTGTCATTTAAATTCATTATTCAGGCTAATTGAAAGATATGTTTTACTTTGCAGGCATTTGGTAGCACCATAGTAATTAATCCAGAAAAAGACAAAACCATGGTCCAAGAACTACTTGATTTTAAAGACAAAGTTGACCATATTATTGATGTTTGCTTCCTCAAGAATGAGAAATTTGTAAATGCCATGAAAGAAGCCTTTGAAACATTCATTAACAAAAGACCAAATAAGCCAGCTGAACTTATAGGTATTTTTCTTCAGTTTCTTCCCATGTGAGAATTTGGGTGGGGGGCAAAAGGAAGTTGCTGATGCAGCTTACAGATGGGATATGACGGAACTGTGTTTTAAAAGACATTATGCACAGTGCGTCGTCAAATTGTGGATCTGCTGTGCCTTACTATGCAAGTGAATTATTTGATGGGATAGCATTAAACATTAAGAACAAGGTCTGTTCTTCAGTGCACTGTAGAAAAGTGAAGAACATTAGAATGTAGGCTTTCCAGCAATTGACTGATGTCCAGATGGGAGAATACTGCTAATAATTTGACTTTTTCAGGAGCTTACATAACTGTGCCACCAACGTAAGTGCACAGAGATGTTAGGGGCTCTACATAGATACCTATGTTTTCATATTTAAAAATTGAGAGATAAGGATGCACTGTACCTCTCATGTTGTGGGAACAGAGCCTCTGTAGTTTGCAAAGAACAAACAGATTGTTTACAGATTTGTGCACTCTGCACTTTTGAATATCTTAATCATTTCCCCACACAGTAAATAATACCTGCTTTGCAATCTGTTGTGCTGTTAGGCTTGTGGAGTAATGCTTTCTGCCCTCCGTTTTTAAAATTAATTCACTAACTGTAGTGTGCTTACCAAACCATTTGAAATTAAAACAAATAGTAATCTGCTACAGAAATTCAGTATAGTCATGTATTTAAATAACTGATTTACATATTTTAATTCTCATCTTTTTGCTTCTATTCTAGCCGTGGCAATCTATAGTAATAGTGACTTTTTACTTCGAGACCATAATATGGAGCAGGATTTTTTTACATATACAAAAGTATTTTTTAGCATCATTATGTATGCTATTAAATTTAAGGTGCACTAATTTCTTATCTGAAAAAAGAGATTAGGCTATAGTCTTTTCATAAATTTATAGCCTCTTTGAAAGTATATCAAGCTAGCTGCAGTGAAACTGATTTGAAGGGGATTTCAGGATCCTTTACATTTCTGAAAGATTTCACAATATTAGATTATTTTTTTAATTAAAAAAATAAATTGTTTAATTCTGATACTAAGTATATGTTAAAATAAACAACTTTTTATTCCTTGATGCTTTTAGCTAAATATGTAGATTCAAAGCTTCGTGCAGGCAACAAAGAAGCTACTGATGAAGAACTTGAAAAAATGCTGGATAAAATTATGATCATATTTAGATTCATATATGGTAAGCATTTTTTTTCCTGGTGATACAGTTGTTTAATCGGTAACATAAAGGTATTTTGAAATAATTTTTGCAGTCTGCGTTTTCAAGCGTTCATTCTCTGTAGATGCAGTTTGCTGGTGCAGTGCCGTTTAAATAGTTCGCGTGTTAAAATGCCGATACCAAGACCTGACTCCAGATCTGTGGAACTCTTAATGTGAAGGCCCTTGTTAGCTTTACCGAGCTTTGACTTGGGTCTCTTGTAGGTGATTTTTGTTTTAAAACAAACAATGATTTGTGATCACTGTCAAATCTCATCTCTTGCAGGAAAAGATGTCTTCGAGGCCTTTTATAAAAAAGATCTAGCAAAGAGACTGTTAGTTGGGAAGAGTGCATCAGTAGATGCTGAAAAATCTATGCTTTCCAAACTCAAACATGGTAAATATTTATCTAGCTATCTGCCTTCTTCCTATTTAAAATAATAATTTTAACAGGTCTTCCCAGAAGTGCTGTTTGTATTTCCCCTTTACGTGAGAGCAAAAACCATGTGTGCAAGTCTCGGATGACTGGTGGGTTTTGAGGAGACTGATTTGCTTTTAGTTTTGTAATCATAGCAGCAGTAACCAGGAAACGGGAGCTTAAAGTGCATGGTGTATCTTGACCCGTGG